CCCATCCCAAATTGTATCTCTCATTTTCAGCACAGATCCTCCTGGTCCCTTATTCATTTTACTTGCTACTAGTGCATTTGATGCATAGGCTGTATGTGATGTAGCATTATCAAATGCCCAAATTCCAATAAATCCAGGATGTGTCCTTTCAAAAATATCTATTGCTTGACAAAGCTGTATTAATAACTTTTCACCATTCCAGTAACCATCCTGATTTGCACCCAAAACCATAGTAACTCTTGCTTCACCAGTATCATCTTTCAATGGTCCTATAGTTTCTCTGAAACATGAATTCCTTGGCCCAAACCTTTTTTTCTCGATGGTTGCTCTTCCTGTGGTCCCCAAACAGCACATGGTCCATTGTATGTAGGAATGTACTCTCATCATGTGTAATCCACATATGTTCTTTCTCACCTAATTCCAATGTTGGAAGAGTTCTTATCTTACACTCTTTATCATTCCAATGTGACAATAAATGATCAAATTCTTGAACCTGTTTAAGAAATTTAGCTCTATACATTACCACATCTTCACAATTATGTCCATCAAAATAAATTCCTTTTTTGTATCGCTTATAATAGAATCCCAATTTATTCATCCAACAAGCAGCAGTTCTGACAGAAATTGTGAATGGAACTTCAATGTGTAAAACAGGAAGAATATGTTCTTCAAAATATTTTTTGACTAGCATTGGACTAACTTTAAATTTTTTGGAACAAAGGTAAGAAGATACCTGTAAAGAAACCAATTCATCATGTAGGAAACTGTTGGAAGAAAATTTACCACTAAGAGAAGGTGAAATGTGTTTTCCTATTTATAAAAAATTAATGATTAACAGTTCATCTTTGTTTAGCACAATAAATAAATAAATCACACCTTCTAAACATATTTTAGCCCATCTACGAATACATCTAGCACAATATTCCCCTTTTCCATATAATTCTGCAACTATATTACTTGCATCCATCATTTTTTTACCTAATAATAAATGTCTTAAATAGAGTTGAACCCAGGAATATTTGGTCTTTAAACTTTTTGAAAGAGATTTGTCATTATTTATAATTCTTTCAATAAAATTTATTGCATTGGTGATCTTTATATTATTTTCATTTTCATTTTCATCTTCTACATCTTCTATATCATCTACATCATCATCTTTTTCATCTTCTTCCTCATCTTCTTCTTCTTCTATACCATCATCATCTTTACTTACTGGCTTAAAAAAGTCCATGATATTTGCTGTTCCTTCAGCAGCTTCATGAAGTTTTTG